AGCAATATTAGAATGAATAATGTATTATTATTGAGTATTTCAAAATGACAATTTCAAGTACCTTTCTGGTAACTTTCTGAAGGATTTGTTAAATCACCAGAAGAATCCTAACAACTCTCTCTCTCTCTCTCTCTTTCTCTCTCTCTCTCTCTCCGTCTCTCTAACATACTGACCACATGTCTGTCACCAGTTGTTTTTTTATCTGAATAATGAAAAAAAAAGTTCCTATCAACTCCAATGTTATGACCAATTTTTTAGGAAGCCGCAGCTAATCTTAACTGACATTATCTCGTAGCATCAAGCATCGTGCAAACGATGTAAATAACATCAACATTGATGATATAAATCTCTGTAGAGTGAGCTTCATACAAAACCATTTTAGATCAGTAACACTTTGAAAGTTTCAGGAAGCTGCAGTAACTTTGTTTTTCTGTTCCAGAAAGCCCTCATGGAAAATGTGATTCAGACTCTGATAATCTTTAAACCTGACATCATGATATGCATTCGTCATCTTACTTCATCTGTACCGTGAGCTGTTAGCTGTGTCCACATTTGCCCTTATTATTTATTAACCAAACAAAGATCCAGATAGCAGTGTTGTCCGATGGTGAGACGTTTTTCGAGGTGTTTTCTCAGCTCTTTACTCACAGATAAGCATCTGACCAAGTCCAAACAGTCCATGACGTCTTGGCTCCGCTGCAGTCGTGTTGTGAATCACCTCATCAGCTCCACTTCTGTTTTGAAGTGTTATGTAACTACATTTCTAACATGCTGAAATGTTGTGTGTAACAGATGTGACCAGGCCTGTAGTTAAATAGCCTCTCTCTCTTACCATGTTTGTCTGTCTGTCTGTCTGTCTGCTGTCCTGCTGATAAGCACATGTCCCTGTGTGACCCAACGGAGGAGTCAGAAGTGGCTGTGAGAGCTGCTAACTGTAGCCATATGTTACCATGACAGACAGATACTGCACCCACAGAGTCATGTCACAGTCTAATGATGCAATGATGGACACCTACCTCCTTTTCGACTTTAGTAGATGGCCTCCGGAGCAGCAGCACTAAAGTTCTACTTGTCATTTTGGAAGTTTGTGTACTCCTACCCTATGAAAAAGTATTCTTCCTCAAAAAACAAAATGTTTACTTTTTGTTTGACGTTTAATAATAATGCAGTGTGGTTAATGTTGGCCCTTAGCATGTGTAGTAAAATGTAGTGTCCTTCTACTGGTCGATGCTGAAGTGAAATGTGACAGTGTGAGCTTGTTCTAATACATCGTGAGAGCCTGGTTAGTTTGAACAAGGGAAACAAAGACTGAGATTTAGTTAAAGACATTGCTGCTGAAGAGCTCTCACAGCTGAAGGGCCGGCCTTTTATTTATAGACAGTCGACTGAAGGCATTGACAAATAAAGGGTCAAAAGGTGAGCTCATTCAGTGTCTTTGCTCAACCATAGAAACTGTAACAAACCGTATAGCGCTCTTTTGACGCAGTTCAAAGTGGAGTCAGTTGAAAGTGCTGAGATATTGCAAGACGCAGGAAATCAGCTGTAAACACTGGAAACACCATATACAGTATATAACCCCATATTGGACCATTTTAGCCCCCCAGGATACAGCAAACAGCTGACAGAGAAAAGTCTGACAAGGCTGTTGAGCCTTGACTGCCTCTGTGACTGCACAACATGGATTAATAACTGGTGGCTTACAACTGGCCTGCAGTTTACCCTCTGTGCAGAGTTAGAGGCTCCAAAGCACAATGGTGCTGTGTGGTGTGTGTGTGTTTGTGTGGAGAAGTCAATGAACCTCGTATTTAGTATTCTTCCTTACAGTTCATTATTTATGAGAACATATATACTGTAGTATTTGCATATACTTTAAGCTTAAATTATGTAATAATAAAAAACATGCCAAAAATCTCTATGTACTAACACAGCATTAAAGAAGCTTAATGTATTTATGGATCCATATAACTCCCATAATGTCAAAGTAGAGTCACCATAATGACATTTACTGGACAATTAGTGAAAAAACAAACTCTGTTTTGACAAATAATGGCTGGCAAAAGTTTTTGTTTTACATGTGTCTAGTACTGGAAAGTGGTTGTTAAAGGTACATTGCATTAGCTTTTACAAAACGTAGTACTTCAGATTAGCCTCATTGTCTTTACTTAAGGACAATTACATTAGCCTTAAGCAAAGCAGAATGATATCGTTCTGCTGATAATGTAACTGCTTGACAAAGTAAAATTATGCAAACGATCTTCCCGTAACTGACAAATCTGAGAATGTTTACATGGGCTGTATCACCTGAAGGGCTCTAACAAAGGTTTCTTTCTTAACACTGACACTTTTCACTTCCTCCTCCCATTTTTATTATTTAGGGTAAATTATCTCTGAAATAAACCTTCTCTATCCTTGAACCTCTATTCTTACTGCTATTACCACCATCACCACTACTGCTACTGTTACTCCGACTGAAACGACCTGTACTTCAGTTATGTTACTACCACTATTACTATTGCTATCACCTTGGGTTGTACTGATTCCAAGTGTTCTGCACATGCAGATACCAAGAACCGATACAAAGAACCAATACCAAACCATTTTTAATTTTGGTTTTCACTTATGAACTGAACTGAACTGGGAGGTAGTGTTCTATAGGTGGCGCAGTTCTGTGGATGATGGGTGTCATCACAGTGAGGACACCAGGCAGCAAAACAATTACAGCCAGTTAATAATTATATAATACCCAGGCAGCAAAACAATTACAGCCAGTTTATATAATATAATTATATAATATAAAAAATGATATAAACATATATAGAAAGACTATATAATATAAATAAATCCAAGCAAAAAGTACATTTTAAATAATATTAAAAACATAGATAAACGAAACTACCCTTTAAGCATAGCTAATAATGCTGAACAGAAAGTGAGCGGAGCTTTTGTACCACTTGAAAAAGAAATCTAACTAAACCCCATACTCTGTTTATGTTTTATTAAAACTAATTAAAACCAAATAAACATCATTATTTTGTGTGAACTTGAGAAGGAAAAACCCATTGGCTGATAAGTGATCAGCTGGTCGTAGAGTATCAGGTCTCTGGATTCCATGTTTTTTGAGTAAGATGAAGTATTTGAATTATAAAATACTACTACTACTACTGTGGGTTTTAACACTGTACTGATAATAGTTTTGCGTCTGTACTAACACATGACTACCACTGATGCGATATACTTCTTTTATTTTTACTACTAATAATAAATATGACAATAATGATAGCAATAATAATAACAGGAGTAATAATAAACACTAATAACAGTCTAGGCTTTTCATACAGTCAAAGTGTAGTCTCTAGTGCTTAGCATGTTCATTTCTTTGTCTCCTGGTTAATATCCTCACAGATTTTAATATTGGCTCTGATTGTCCCAGACTTTCTTGAAGACACCGTGGAATTTATTTCAAACATTTGTCGGATCACACCGACCTAATTAGAAACCAATTATAGGTCATCATCGCTGAAAGCAGTTTGTATTATTTCGTGAGACATTTGCTGCTTCTCTCAATATCAAACGGGATTAATGTTGGATCGTTGGGCTCCAACATCATAAAAAGATTCAGTGTGCTGCTCTTCACTTCACTTTCTTCTGCTCCGACTTCCCTTTGCTTCGCTTCCATCCGTTCCCTTTCTTTATTTCTTCCTTTCTTTTTGTCAAAGGAATTCTCTGACTGGCTAATCTTTTCAAAGCCAAAGTATTTCTTGTCAGCCCAATTAAGGATTTGAAACTTTAACATCCTGAGAATAATTTTAATCCACCTTCTCTTCAGTGGATTAAAAAAAAAAGCTCTTGTCTTTAATTTTGCTTAGTCACTGGGAGATAAAATGATGACTCATAAGAAGGGCACACAGCGAAGTTAATAATAAAAATCCACAGCAGCCGCAGCAGCTTAGTTCTCACTCTGTGCACTTTTCTATTTGCCGTGGCACAGGCTGTATTCTTGCCGTGATAAGGCACGATAAAAAGGAGCAAACTCTGAGATAAGACTGAAATCTGTCCAGCTTTGCCAAAGCTCAGACAGGGTGTGTGTTTGTGTACCGTCTGTCTGCTTTGTTCGCCAACAGATTCCTTCCACCCTTCTCTCACCCGACGTTCTTTTCTCCTTTAAACTTCTTTTTAAACTTGCAACTCTGACTGATTCCTTTTCTAATCTCTGCCCACTCTATGTACTTTTTCATACTCTCCTTCCCGTTCTGCTGCTTTTGTACTTTTCAAATTACTTCTTAACTCCTTTTTACACATGCCTCCCTTAGTCATGATTTCTCTATCTCTTCCTGGCATTTTTCATTTTCATGTTTCAACCAACAACAAAATGCTATTGTTAGTGTTTCACCAAAATTGGTCTTTTCTCAGATGCCGTCATCCCCCGTTCCCCCCACCCCTCTGCCTCATCTCTTTTTAAGTTTTTTTTTTAATTTATTTATTTCCCTGACAAAAAGCAGTACTTGGCACTTCTGAAATGTAAACAAAGTTTTGTTGTTTCCTCAGCTGCAGCCTCCTCTAGCCCTGTTTATCAGGCAGACTTCAAAGTGGCACACTGACATGCGGTTCTGTCTCCCTCCCCCCCGCCCCCCGCGCTGTATGAAACAGGGTCACAGTCGGTTCTCGGCTTTCACAAAAACTTTTTTCCCTTTCATGTAAGAACCTTGTGGCTGAGAGCAGCTAACAGGGGCCATGCCAGCCTGCCACCCACCCACTGTCCAAAGAGAGACACTCGGTGTGGTCGTGAGCGTGGGCATGTGCGTGGGTGGATATGCTTCAGTTTGTCTTTTTGTTTTCTCTCTACTGGTCATTACAGGCCAGCAGTTAGTCTGGATTTAGTGAACCAGGGTGTATTCATCTCGCCTGGTTTTGTTTTTGCTATCTTGACATTTAATTCACTAACTTTCTGCTCTTCTCGTTTTTTTTCTCTCTCTTTATATGTTTTTTTTTTTTTTGTGTAGCTGTTGTGCCAATGTGAGAGCGCCTCAGAAGCTCGTGCTGAGCTCCAGACTGCAGCAGCGGGACAAAAGACATAAGAAGAGAAAGACAGGACGGGAGTAAGAACAAAAAACAAAAAAAAGGAGCAAGAAGACCCCAAGGAGGCAGGATGTTGATCAAAGCAGAGTTTAAAAGACAAACCTGACCCTGAAGGAGACACAAAGACCAAAACTTTCAGTTGAAAAACACCCACACTAAAACTTCTCAAACTTCTGTCTGTCCTCCTCAAACCACGGGGGCTCAGCAATTATTCCCAAATGAAAAACCCTGAACTCTTCTAGAAAGACATCATTTCAAACCCCCACATTTTGTGCATTGACTCCAAACCCAGTAAACACTGTCCAAAGACACTGTCCATACCATCGATTCTTTGGCTGAAACAATCACCGCTGCGTTTTAATTGGACCACACTGTTACTGAGGAGCCAATGCCAGACACTGACACACGACAAGGTTTCTCGGCGCTACACATGGACTGTTGATGAAGAGAAATGGCAGTGAGAATGTCAGGTGCCACCCCTTCCTCTCGGCCACCCTCCCTCCCCCCAGTGGACGCGGCTCGGACTGGTTAAGGTTGGTCTATTGGCATCCATCGCAGCAGCAGCAGCTGACAGAGTGCAGGAAGGAGCAGTAATGCAGGAAGCTGACTTACCGGCCACAAATGCCTTTAAAGGTAAAGGGAAAAAAATCTTGATATGACAAAACTGTGCATGCTCTCATATATGTGTTTAATCGTCAGTTGGCATAAAGGAATATCACCTCGTCGTCTGACAGGTTCGTGTGCAGCAAATAGCTGTACGTTAATTATCCAGGCCACACTTTGGTCATTTCAAATTAAACTGTCATTGTTAATTAATACACAGCCAACAGTGTTGTTGCCACATAGATGTAACTCGCAAAGAAATTGTTATTTATTTACAGTTTAATTAATCTGAGAACGGCTGATTTTATTTTGTATTTTCATGTATAGAACTAGTTTATAGCCACAAACTGGGGATTTAACAGCAGGATTTTGCCTGAAAGTCTTGAAGACAGGACTTCAGAGGTACCTGTCCGTAGTCCTGCCTGCAGTGCAGATCTGTGAAATCATGAAGAGGACAAAAACAAACAACCAGAAACATTTAAACAGAATTATTTATGCTGTCAATTATCTTATAGCATCTCATACTCAGGTAGGTTTTTAATCATTACAGGTTTGTAAGTATACTTCTCTGGGAAATCTGAGCTTATGTCGAAGCTTGATTTACCTTCAGGAGTGTTTACTTCACTAAACAGTATTTAGCATATTCCTGACTTTCTCTGCAAACTTTGACAAAGTTGGTTTGGCAGCGAAAGCTGATTTCACCATCAACAAATTTATTCAACTGCAGCTAATGAATATTAAACCTTTCCAGTGTTGAATGTTAAAATGTCTTCTGTAGGAAAAGTTTGAGCAGTTACAGTTAATTGACTGAACCTATTGGCCTGGGGGGAGAAATGCATAATTTTATTATATAATAATACTACACCGTTGATGTTAATAAAGAAGTAAATGTGTTTTGGGCAGTTCAGAAAACAAACAAACAAAAAACACCTCATTTAGCTTCTTCTATTTTAGAAGATTATACAGTGTGTATATTACAGTTTACATAAGCAAGTTTTTTTAAGCTAACTTTCCAAGTTTCTTAATCACATGTTCTGTACACATTTCCACATCAGCCATTACATGCACCGCACATGCTTTTAAGAGAATTTTCTCCACTGAACAGATGAACCTTTTTACTCAAACTTTTAATATATACAGCAGAATACATAATCAGTTGCACTCTTCGCATCTTCTCCCATGTTTTGACATGAAACTCTCACTCTCCCCTCTTACCTGCCATGAATGCATATTTATGAGAAGGAAAAGCACCATTTGTCTGTCTGTGCTCCCCATCTTCAAACACAAAGCAAATGCTTATATCAGTTTTTAACCCTATTTAGCTTGAGTTTTGAGTGCTTTTTGCACAAATCATTTCCTGTTTTTCTGACATATGTTGCGATGAGGTGCAGTCAGAAACCGGTGCTTGCACGTAAGTACATACGACCCACGGTATCTTAATTTTAGAGCAGGCACATTTATAAAACGATCCTTCACTATGGTGTGCTAAATGTTTCCTCGGAATTGGGTTTAACATTAGCATCACTTAATGCACATTAAGTGAAAATTGACTGGCAGCTAAGAGATGCTAAAGTTCTGCTCGTGTGGTGAGGGGAAACCTGATCATGAGATTTTTGATGGAAATATATTGGACCCAACAGTTTATAAATGTAACAGTGCTTCACCATAGAAGCAAATTACTGGTAAAGTCTGTATGTGCTGTATGAGTTAAGGTCTGTCGCAGTATTCCAGGGTTGAAGAACAATGAAAAAAATGTAATAATTTTTTTTTTACCTCAGGAAAAATGTTCAAATCAGACTTCCTCATGTTGTTTGAACATCTTCATTAAAGTTATTAAAAATAGTTTTCTCTCACACACACAGACATTAACAAGTTCTCCCATATATTGCTTTGTGAAGGTTAATCTGATTAATCTGAATGCTTCTTGATGCATGGGCAGAACGGTACTTATGTATAATCGATAATTCCACCATCCATTGACTTAACAACATAAAAGAAGAATACCGTACTCCAGGGTGGGAGAGGAACACACGTCTAAACTTGACATAGAATTAGATTAAACCTAGAGAAAAAAAGACACAACAAAGAAAGGGTGTAGATCTGGTGACGTGCAGACTGTGCTTCATTTGTCAAATCTGTTGCACCTTGTGTTGAGCTCAGCCACATATATTTGCTATTGGAAATGCCACACTGGCATATACTGTATTGTTGATTCACAGTAAGAATAGGTTGAATGCAAAGACAGGAAAAAACAGGAAAATTGTAAAAGTCCAACGTCCAAAAAAAAGAAAAAGAAAAGAAGATGACAGATATTTACTTACATTAAACCAGGCCAAAATGAAGGCTCGGACCAGTGTCTAATTTCTTAGACTCTGCAGTCACAGCAGTGTTTCAGCTAATTTATATATTTATATTTTACTTATTCATAAATATCTTTTCACGCCAGTCACTGTTTACTAATGATTATATTTCTTGCCCTCTCTTCTGTGTGTGGTGATGGATACCCACTCAAATGAAGCTGGCATTTAACGCCATATCATTGTATCATTTGAAGTGATTCAGCTTAATCACAAAAGGCATGTGTTGGTGGGGTGAATGGTTCTAACTGCAGGACTTTGTTCACTACGTTTTGGGATGTGGGATCTCTGATATGGGCCCCATTCTCTGGCTAATTCCCATCCTGTTCAAAGCCATGGTAGATAATGTACATTCCACGTCAACATCAAACTATACATACAAAAATGTCCCATGCATCCAAACAAGTGAGCTTGTTTAGTAGGACTCAACCGGATATACTTGCAGGAATTAAAGAATTAAAGAAAGACAGATGAAGATCGGATATACCTGCAGGAATTAAAGAAAGACAGATGAAGATTGGTCTTCATAAATTAATAATTGTTTTAAGACTGATTAAGTGAAATTGTAGACTTTAATTAATTTATAATTTAAAAACATGGGCTAGAATTTACCATATGGCCAGACAATCTCTGTCTTTAGTCAAATAAATTCTTGAAAGGTCCTTTCCAAAATTCCACCAATCAACATTTGGTACAAAAAAACATACAACACCCAAACATTTTTATACTGGAATAAAAATAAAATCTACTTGAAGAAGAACATGAAGATACATGAAGAACAACTTTGCTAGCTATTCAAAATAATTAACACATAGGCTCCATATCCCAGAATGCATTGGAAGTAGATGACACACTTCCTAGGAAATTTACTAAAAGTCTGCTAAAAGAAAATAGTTTTCTTTTCTGCTGAATCATCTCTGTATGTACAGTACTTCTCTGTGAAAGCGTTCTTTATAACTGAGGAACATTTCTGTGTGTATTGACATTTATGAGAGAATCAAACAGGTCACACTCTCAAAGGTGAAGAGTTGAAAGTGCTGTCGAGAGAAGAGCAGCCGACGGTGGAAATAATGGGCACGGTGCTGTCGACAGTATTAGCCTCTGTAGACCTGAGCTTAATAGTTTCTCATTAAAACATAATCACTTACTCTAATTATGATTGTTGTAATTGAAGTCGTGTTCCGCCTTACAGGAGACTGAACCCATCGCCCGGGGGGTGATATTCTCTCCTTTTTTAATGAAAGGGTTAAGACGAGTGAAATGCTGACTCTCTTCCTCTGCGTGAGGATGAGATGAGACGAGATGAGATGAGGTGATAGGAAGTCTGTTCCATTTTACAAAAATTGCAGCTCGCTAAGACAAACTTATGGCCCACGGAAATGAAGTGAAGATGAGGACTTTGATTTAGTTAAGTTATGAAGAAAGTTAAAGAGTTGAGATGAATTGATTAGAATTTTTAATAAAACTTTTTTTAGAGCAGTGGTAATAACAGAATATTATAAAGTTAGGTTTAATATTGGTAGACATTATCAATAAAGATCCATTATCATAAATTATTTTGATATACACCTTTTCTGGACACTTGGACACATTCAGAAATAGAGCTGTTCAGCACTGTAACATTTTCATGTCCAAACATGGCACATTATCCTTCTGTTAATAGAAAATGTGTATGCTGTAGCATTGCATCATTGACACATAATTAGCAGCAACACTCAGTCAGTACTAAAGGTCCTAAAGCATGTATTAAAATAGATTTCACACCACAGCCACTAGTCTTTACTGAAACATGTGGAATCCATCTGTGCACCAACCTTTTTGACCCTATCTTGTGATTCAAGCAATTTAAATCTAGGCCCAAATAATATGTTTCCAACTTTGATTGCCCAATTTTGAGGAGTTGGTGAAAATGCGTGCCTTAGTTACATGTTTCAGTTAACTGGAGTGACATCCAGTGTGGTCTTCTGCTGCTGTTTGTTTCCAGCCTCGATCTGTTGTTCATCCAGCGCCGTGGCCGTGACAAGTGGCTATTTGAGTCACTTTACATCTATTCTGGCTGGTCTGTTCTGACCTCTGGCGTCAGCTGGGTTTTTGGCCAGAGAGCTGTGAACATTTTCTCTCTTTTTTTGAACATTTACTGTGAACTAATGGTCATGAAATATGCCGGTTTATAATCATACAAATTACACAGACCAGGATGGCAGTCCTGAAAAGGAAATATTTATTTTTCTCCCAGCCCACCCTATTCAGTGTCATGGAGGAACAGCAGCCAATCCCTGCAGCCATAGGGCAGGCTGAGGTACACGCTGTACTGAAAATCCATGCACATGAAGGGAGAGCATGCAAACCAGAGAGATCAAATTCCACCGACACTCAAACCAGTGATTGTCATGTTGTAAGGCACGAACACTAACCTCTCATCCACCATGTACCCCCACATACCTTGCACATTAAGATTGACCCCGATCTCCTTTATTCTCCTTATGGAGCTAACTTTGACTTTTGTAGGTCATTTTGACCACTCTCACGTGTAAATTAGTTTAAAATATTAAAATAACCAATTCAAATCTCCCTTATTTTTTTATGTGCTCTATTATTCAACAAAAACTAAATATTTCAATGACAACCCTATTTGGTCCTTGATCCAGTCCTGGGTTTGCCTTTTGACTGATA